TATCAGGACATTACAATTTGATCTCGAGAATAAGAATAATGCACTGCTATAGTGTATTCGTATACATATTACCACTTTTATATTAACTAACTTTACACTTGCAGTAACCGTTTTCTACCCTTTCATTTGTATAACTCAGGAGAAATACGATTGCTAGTTTTTGCGTTTTATTATCACAGCCTGATAGAGTTTGCTTCAACTTATCTGGTCTCACCCTTTCCTCTGTTCTTGTGTTTTATAGAAGCAGGAGGAGGAGAAGGCTCAAGTGAAACGGAAGAAAGAAGCCGTTGAGAAAGAAGAACGGGAGAAACGTGAAAAGGAGCGGCGAGACAGGCGCGATGGAAGTAGTGCTAAAGACGAACAAGACGGAGAACCCGGTAGTCCTACGTCCCACAAGGGTCGCAGTAGTAGTACTGGAAGTAGTAGAAGAGATAAAAGACGGTCTAAATCTAGGTAATAAAATTTGACAATGTTTCAACTATATTTTGTAAACTTCGTCCTTAATCGACGACCGAAACATCGATTGAGGCACAGTTTAAGTATTTCCTGCTGGATTCAAGGTCTAAAGAACGAGACAGGGATCGTCAGAGAGCCGATAGAGATCGCGATAGAGATAGAGATCGGGAAAGAGACCGCGAAAGAGAGCGGGAAAGGGATCGTGACCGAGAAAGGGAACGTGAACGTGAACGCGAGAGGGACAGAGAAAGAGAAAGGGACAGGGAACGTGAAAGGGAACGTGAACGGGAGGAAGCGAGAAAAACTGAAAGGGAAATTATGCGGGAAAGGGAGGAAGAGGAGGAGGCGAAGGAGAGAAAAAAGAACGAGAGAAGAGCGAGGGAGAAGGAGGCAGCTTATCAGGAACGTCTAAGAGCATGGGAGACGCGTGAACGGCGTAAACAAAAGGAGTACGAGAAAGAAGCGGAAAAACGCAGAGCGAAGCGGGAAGCTAGGGAAAGGGAGGCGAAACGTTTGAAAGAATTCCTGGAAGACTACGACGATGAAAGAGACGACGCCAAATATTACAAAGGCAAAGAACTTTCGCGTCGCCTGGAGGAAAGAGCACTTGAGGCGGAAGCGGACTCCCGGGATCGTTGCGCCGAGCGTCAAGAACTTCAGCGTCTTCGCGATAAACTTTATGCAGATGCATCTCATCCAGATCCAGCGGCGGAATTCGAAAGGGTAACGAATTTTTGTGATTCCTTTTTAATCGAGACATTGCAAAATTTGCATATAATATTTCTTATATTCTAGCTGAAAGCTGAACGGGAGGAACAGTATAAGCCTAAACCGGTAATTACGATAATTGACGAAGAGGAGGAGAAAGTGGTGAAAAAAGAGGCAGAAATTATGCCGCCGTTAGAAACTGAACCCATTGAGAGTGATAGTGACGAGTGTGTACAATTCGATGAGATTTCCCAACCGGAGGTGCCGCCGTCTAGAACGCCGCCGAGGCATCATCACCATCATCGTAGGCATCATCGCCATCATCAGAATCATCATCGCGACGGTGAAGAGAACGAGGACGTTGTAGAAACTGACAGAGATAGCGTTAAGGGTGCGAGATCGCCGTCTTCACATCAAACAGTGACAACACCAGTTCAATCTATGCCGCCCACGATAGATGAAGATTCGCGGATGTCTCTGGTTAGCGAACCAGAAAAAACGAGTAGTAGTGAGTAACCGATACAATTCTTTCGTTTCATATAAAAGTGTACATTTCTTATTTGCATCACGCTTGATCGCAGGTAACTTCGTGCCGTTCGCCATGGGAAGCGGAGGCAACCGTGGCGGTGACCATGGTATCGGTAATAAAACTCCCGCTAGTCCGAGCACAACTGTTAACGCGAATTCTCAACAAACAAATCAGAATAAAAAGAAGGGTCGGATCGATGTTAAAGATGTATTTAATAATGACGACGACGACGACGGTGCTAATAATGCGAAGAAACGGAAGCTAGTTCCTTTAGGTGTGTACTTAATTAAATACATCTTTTGTTTAGATCAAGTATAACTTGTTCTATATGGATTTCGTTTCAGATTATGGTGAAGAGAAAAAGAAAAAGTCAACTGAAGAAACTCCTAAACCCGGTAAAGAAGAAAGTACAAAAAGTCAAGAGGAGAAACGGAAACACATAAAATCTCTTATCGATAAGATACCCACGGATAAAAACGCTTTGTTCGGATACCAACTTGATTGGGCAGTAATAGATAATGTCAGTGTTAATATTATGGGTGCATGAAATTTGATATTGTCCCTTCATTAATTATCGTTTTATTCTTATAGACGTTAATGGAGAAGAGGATAAGGCCGTGGATTAATAAGAAGATCATTGAATACATTGGAGAACCCGAACCTACATTGGTAGATTTTATTTGTAGCAAAGTAATGGCCGGCAGTTCTCCCCAAGGCATACTCGACGATGTACAGATGGTGAGGAATTTTTATTCTTATCATTTAACAATTAATTTATTACGTATACTTTCGTAAACGGATATGTCGTAGGTATTGGACGAAGAAGCTGAAGTATTTGTAGTCAAAATGTGGAGGTTATTAATTTACGAAGTGGAAGCTAAAAAAATGGGCTTAGTTAAATAAACGAAATATCAATTTAAGTACTACTCGACTTAAAAAATTTATACTACACATCAAATTTTTTTGGTTAACATGTACTATTTAGGTTGTATACCCCGAAATACACAATTACTTATGTATAATTTGTAGGATTCTTCACTAGGTTGGTGTTACTCGATTCCTAGATGAGAACTAAGTGTGTAGCAATTAAAATGTTAAATACAAAATTGCAATTACGATTTATAATATTTGAGTTGTACTTCACCAAATTTGTTTGTCTGTAGAATCTCTGTCCTCTTTTTTTTTTTTTTTTATGTAGATCGCGCATTCTCTGCAGAAACGCAATTTCTACTTTTGCCGCGTTCCCTTAGGCGTGAAAATCTGCATACGAGTATTCTACGACTCGTCCGCAAATACTCGATATGTCGCGGTATGAAATTCGCAAATTTCTACTAGATGTAACTTGCTCAGATGAAATCCACCATTTCATACAAAATATATGGCATCTCGTTCTGATAAAATGAAAATGAGCTGAAATTTTAATCCTGAAAATTGATACGTTAATTAAATAATCTTGAAACTTGACGTAACTCACGGTCTTCCACATTTTCTTATGCTTAATTCGTAATAGAATTCTTGGAAAGCTGAATGATAACCATAGTATTCTATACTCCATTCATAATAGAGTCAGACATGATATCATGATCGTGGAATAGCCACTTATCTTCCGGATCGTTTTTAGCTTAAAGCGGTCTCCTTCGGCGATTTCCTGCGCAACCCGTATCTCAAAACGGGGAAAGGATCTCTATTGAGCATATAAGACGCAAAAGGCCGCGGCGGAAATAGAATTTCTATCGCAGAAATACGAATAAAGATGATCTTTGTATGACGCACGAGCAACGGGGGATAGCCCGCGTATCTCTACCAACGAATATTTTCGGTTTTCAAAAGGGCTTTGTCAATCATATTGTAAT